TCATGGAAAAATATTCCATATTACTTCTCTGGAGAATGTGCATGAGAATCCCCTGGCTTATGGTTTGTTGTGGCATCTGGACCACAACACTATCTTCCCAGCCAACGTTTCAAAGATCCACTTTAGATCATATTATGTTTATGATCAAAATACTAATTTCAATCTACTCACCAGCTCTACAGTCCAAGAAGTGTGCTGTCACATTCATGTGAGTGTACACTTTGTGTTATTCTGCAGACTTTAAATTCTAAACTTTAAATTTCCCATCATTTCAAAAATTATCAGGACCAAATCACACCCCTAGGAAACACCATCTCCCCTCTATATACATAACACTTACACAGACCACTGGCCTGTCAAGACCACTTTGACTGGCAGTTAAGTCTGTAGGGACTCACATAAGTGGTCTTTTACACCACCTCCTACCTCATCCTTTTAACTGGAGATGGTGTGATGTGAACCTGGGATATTCTGCATGCACAACAGCAGATGAAAGATTAATGGAAAGAAGGTTAATACAAGAACAAAATTGTGAACAAATTACTAGGAACCAAATGTGTTATTCATGTATTACAATTAATAAAAATACTCTTGTACACAATCTATAGTCAATACATACAACAATCAGATCATAATTCATATATACTCAGTCCAAAAGCATTTCCAATCTCATCCAAACTTCTTAATGAAGTAAAGTGCTTGTGCTGAATAAATGCTTCCAGTTTGCTCATTTCAAAGGACAACAGATGAATGTTCCAAGTTATTCAGTTTCAAGAGTACATATGTGAAGACTATTGGAAGGACACTTCTGACGGAGCCTGTCAGCCTGTTACAATTCCATTTCCAGAAAGCTTTTTCAAAGAGGGGATAAAATGCTGTCCATACACACAATGCTATCATTCCACTGTGAATATTCCCTGTTCTCACAAGCATTGCTTTACTCCATTAAGAAGTTTCAATGAGACTGGAAATGCTTTTGGACTGAGTATATATGAATTATGATCTGATTGTTGTATGTATTGAATATAGATTGTGTACAAGAGTATTTTTATTAATTGTAATATATGAATAACACATTTGGTTCCTAGTAATTTGTTCACAATTTTGTTCTTGTTTTTTGTATTATCCTTCTTTCCATTAATCTCATCTGCTGTTGTGTATGCAGAATATCCCAGGTTCACATCACACCATCTCCAGTTAAAAGGATGAGGTAGGAGGTGGTGTAAAAGACCACTTATGTGAATCCCTACAAACTTAACTGCCAGTCAAAGTGGTCTTCACAGGCCAGTGGTCTGTGTAAGTGTAAGGCAGTGTTATGTATATAGAAGGGAGATGGTGTTTCCTAGGGGTGTGATTTGGTCCTGATAATTTTTGAAATGATGGGAAATTTAAAGTTTAGAATTTAAAGTCTGCAGAATAACACGAAGTGTACACTCACATGAATGTGACAGCACACTTCTTGGACTGTAGAGCTGGTGAGTAGATTGAAATTAGTATTTTGATCTTTGAAATGTTGGCTGGGAAGATAGTGTTGCGGTCCAGATGCAACAACAAACCATAAGCTAGGGGATTCTTATGCACATTCTCCAGAGAAGTAATATGGAATATTTTTCCATGAACATGTTTCCATTTCTAAAAATAGTTTCATTAAAATGGATATTATTACTAATTCAGTGGGCTGGATCCAGCCAGCTTTTGGGATGTTGAAAAAGGTCGGAGGAAGTTCCTTTTTGACTATTTTAGGGATCCTGGGACTTCAATGAACAAGAGCCATGTAGGATGGGGACCATATTAAGAAGGGAAGTTGGGCAAGGTTGTGCTAAAGAGCATGCTGGATGTGACCCAATATTAAGTAAGCTTGGCAGTTTCAAGGTTGTAAATAATGTCTTCCAGTAATTATCCCTACAAATTCTGTCAGAGTACATGTATGTTTTGTTGATTTATAAAGAGAAGAGTGCTAACAACTACAAATACATATAATATTCCTAATTTTAAAAATCAAGCTATGAGTTAATCTCATGGTTTTGACTTGAGCTTCACATTCAGAGTTAACGTTTTTCTGTAAATGTCTTCTCTCACATGAAAAGTGATATTGTAATCATCACTCATCAATGTGACAAATTGCAGGTGGTGCTATAGAGAGTGACACAGTGAGAGCAATCCTAAACAGGTCTATCTTGGAGTAATTCCCAGTTTATTCAACTGGGCTTATACCTAGGAAAGTGTTATTTAGGTTGCAGGCAGTAAAAGTGAGATGCCTCTGGAAAAGTTTAAAGTTTTTGAAACAGATAAAGTGTACCCTTGGCATACCCTGTAATTCTTTGGATATGCTAAAATTAGTCTGTTAATTTTTTAAGTGATTTCGTTTTTTCCTTAAGTTTAAACAATGTAAGGGGATAGATGCTGTATTGTCTTTAATATTTTGCCAGTATTAGTCCAACTAAAATAATTTCCTCATGCTCTTTGGATATGTTTGGGTACAATATTTAATTTTTTCCTAATTAAATGTTTCAGTTCAAGTATTTGCTGCTGTTGGAACATAAAATTAACATGGACTACTTTTTAAAGTAGGTACTGTTCCAGCTTAAATTCTTCTGTAAAGCCCTCATCACTAAATCTATCCCTTTACGTTTATGGCTGTAGTTATGGATTTCTGCAAACAATTTACTCCTTGTATTCTGAGTTTCCAAAGGCAAAAATTTGTCAGTCAGTTTTAACTGGGAGAGAGGGAGCATGTGAGCTCAAGGATCACCTATAAAAGTGAAATTCAGAAAAACCAAAAGTGAAAGAAACTGTTTGTGGTAGATAGTAGTTGAGAAATAGAAAGTTAACATATGCTTCAGTTACAAAACTAAAAGTTGTAGCTTAGTCATTTGTTTCACATGCTCAGTATAAATAAATAAAGTCAGTGCTGGAGTCCAGGTTTCTGTGACTGCTATCAAAACAGACAATGTTTGGGCTAACATTGGTTCTCATACTGCCACAGTACTTGCATAGTTTTCCATGTTGCATTAATATAATTGTTGAGAGCCACATTCTCAGCCAGCATTCAAAAGAATGTTGAACATCTTCCCATCTTTTCCCATGGTTCAGCCTTCCCTCCCTTCTATCCACCGGAACAGAGATGATCCAGGCTAGAATAGAGCTTTGTGATACCCCCTTAACGGTCTTCTGCTCTTGACCCAGCATTTAAACTTTGGACTTCTAGTCCTATGGATTTATTTTGTGTACACTTATATGCCATTCTGTATAGTAACATATTTGAATTGTAAAATAATAGATTTTTGTGCAATGTAAACATTTATAACTGGAAGCTTTTTGACCAAATGTGGCCAAAAGGTGCTGCAGTTTACTAGTAAGATGTGGCAGTTTACTAGTAAGCCACTTTATGGGATCTGATGTGCTTTCCCCTGACAAGGTGAGGTGCTTCATTCTGCACCAGCCTGCAGGCTCTAAACTGTCCATTCTACATAGCAAGTCCATTTACTTTGCATGACATGTTTGCACAGGAGGAAGTGCAACACAGATCACAGTCCAGCCAAAGCGAAGCACATTTAATTCTATGAATGTTAGTTGGGGATCAAGCTGTGAAGGCCTGGAAAAGACCAGAAATAATTGGGGGAAGAATACGTTTTTTTGGGTTCATAGCCTACCTTTCTTACTGACTCCAACACTGAGGAAACTATGACTTTAAAAAGAAATGAACTGCCTTTTAAGACTTCTTTCACTCAAAATATTCATTTTTTCCCCTATTGGAAAATTGGGGGGCACATTCAGTATATTCTATGTAATTCTTTGTTTTTCTTGTGGAATGAGTAAAATATGCTAAAATAGCATAAGGTGCAACAGTTTGCAGGTGTCTTGCATTAATATTTGGTGTGTTTTCAGTTTTCCTTGTGGAAAACAAAGGGAGTAATCAAAAACTTGTCTACTTGGAAGTAAGTTCCATTTTCTTCAGTGGGGCTTATCTCCAGGAAAGTGTTATTATGATGGCACTGCCAGGCAATTGTACTTTATGTCAGTTAGTACAATTTTGTATGCTAATTAAATTATAAATTATGCATTTTATGATGAAGTGGCAGAACAGATTTAGATTTGATATGAAAGTCAGTTTTGCACGTATTTCAGTTTTCCCCAAAATTCAGACGGGGGGAGTTTTCTGTGGCTTCAAAATTATTGAAAATTTACCTCTGTAGATGAAATTGTGGTGCTTAAAAGTGTGTGATTTACATATTAATTCACGTTTGTTGACGGAAGTGTTCCAGTGACAGTTGATAAATACCTACATTTCTTTTAATAGGATAGCAGAAATACAAAAAGATGTGGAGTATCGATTGCCATTCACTGTAAATAACCTCACAATTAATATTAACATGTAAGTACGGTATGGTCTAATCATATGCCCTTTTGAACTCTTAAGCTGCGTGTTATAAATCAGGGTATGCAAACTTTCAAATGGTGGATCAGATCTTCACACTTTGGGACTAAGTAACTTAATGTTTTCTTATTGTGCCTTATACACTCACAGTAAATTTTAGGGTGGGCAAAAGAGAGGGAATACCACTATTATCATACCAGCAGCAAAATTCCGTCTTGGAGATCATTGTGGCACGATTGAGTAACTCATTTCAAGAGTGCTTCACTTGTTCACAGATTTCTTATCTGTAGCAGCTCTGGGAGAGGGCTTTGACAAGCTTCATGCAATCCAAGCACTGTAAACAGTCTATGTTTGTGAGTTAGGTATACAGGATGTTGCAATTCCATTGCCAAATACGTCTGCGTTTTCACGGAAGACAAGCCCATGTAGTCTGAAAGGTGGTATGATAGAATCTGTAGCAAAGCAGGCCAGAAGCACTTCACTCTGCAACTGCCCATTTTGCCCAGGTGGTGGTTCCAGAAATGGGATTAAATCCCACAGAGCATTTTCACCAACAGAAGGATTTCAAAGAGCCAAATTCAGCAACCTTTATTTCTGCCTACTACTGCAATCCAGCATTCCCTTTGAAATGCTGTTTCTGGGTTCTCCTGTCAACTGGAGAAGTATTGTGGACTGTAGCAGAAGGGAGGGAGGCAAGAAGGTCACACAGAAACAATCCCTGGGATCAAGATGTGGTATTTCAAAGACTCATGTCCTACCACCTACCTGTACATCCTTTCCCATTGCCGCTACACATACCTTTTCATTTAATTGCACTTCTGAATGTACTGTGTCAGCATTACTCAAGCTCTTTGTGAAGTCCTGCTTTTAGGACAGATCAAAAACTTATCCCTGGTAAAAGGTTAATAGACACGAAAAGTTGACAAGATACACTTAACTAGTTTCTGAAGAAAACATACATACAAAATTAATACAAAACTTGTATTACTATTAAATTTTAGCACCGGAGCATACGTCTCAGCTATTTAGACTATCGTATCTGCATTCTAAACCTTTAACTGTAATAATTTCTTTCTAGTAATGACTTTTAACAGTAAAATATTTAAGTCCCACTTCTGGAGTTCACAATTCTATACTTTTCAGCCCTAGTCAGTATTCTGTCTCCTTTATGTCCCTAACCCTTTCTCTTAGACTATCATTCCTTCTTAGACTATCATTTTTTAACTTCTTTTCTGCTTCCTCATTCCCAGGATTCTGAAAGGGTTCTCCCTACCTGGTTGGCAGGGCAGCCCATTTAACCAATCCGATCCTTGTTCTTTCTTGTTTTTACAATTTCAAGTTATAGAAGTAAGCATTTATTCTAAATGTATATATGAAAAGGCTAAACCTATTTAAATGTTTTTCTAAAACTGTCCACAGGTAGTAGACTGCAGTATTGTTTACATGAATATCATGTTAGTAATTATGTATTGGTGTTTTCAGCTTGCTTCCTCCTCAGTTTCCTCAGGAAAAACCAGTCATCAGTGTTTACCCTCCAATACGACATCACTTAATGGACAAACAAGGCGTGTATGTGACCTGCCCATTAATAAACAATGTATGTATGATTATAAAATTGTCTAATGTAATGATGTGATAGTAAAATTGCATATTGTTTTCGTGATCTATAGATAAATGTCAGTAATTCATTGCTGAGCTTTTGGAGTATGTTCTGTGATGAAAATTACTACTATATGTGCATCTTTTCACACACTTTCTGAAATAACCAAACATTTTAGAGTGGTTTTCCAGAGATAATTTAGGAGGTGTTTTTGAGAAATTCAAATTTGTTTATTGCTGATAGCCAAAGGCTGTTGCATTCTTAACATAAAAGATACAGAAATTAAAAAAGCTACAAGGTTCACATAGAATAAAAAAAAAGATGAGCAACTGAAAAACTCTAAGCATTTTTATGTATATTTAAACCTAACAACAGTGTTTTAGTTCCTCAGTACTTTAGTTGAATAAAGCTACTGATCAAAGTTTGACCAAAATTAGCAGCCCTGCTAATTTTGCGTGATTTAGCATAAAATAATCTATTGATATAATACAGAATGTTGTAGGGGTGCTAAATATAATACAGCTTTTCAATCTCCAAACAGTTCACAATGCACTCAGACCTTGGAAAAATTGTTCAGAGTGTACTTGATGAGTTCTGGAAGAATCCTCCAGTTTTGGCTCCCAGCTCAGCATCATTCCCATTGTAAGTAAGCCAGAGATCATGGAGACAAAAATTCCAAACAAAATGAAGATAAAACCAAAATGAATTTTTTTCAAGCTTTGCTTGAACCAATGCACTATTATGTTAATAGCTTAATATAAAGATACATATTAAAGTGAATGTGTGTTTACAGTGTTCACATCAATGGAATTGAATGGACGTATTGGGATGGGCTGTTATAGTTTGCTTCACTCCGTCTGCACCCCAGGCTACTCTGTGTAACAGACTCAGCAGTGGTCCACCTGGAGTATTCCTGATTTTTTGTGTGTGGTTCTTAGTCCTGAATGCATTGCATCTCTGCTGCTTCTGCATTTGTGTATGCCTTGCTTAGAGCATGGGTAGCTAACTTGTAGAAGTTGTCATGAACCCCCCACACCTCCACAGAATTGCCAGGTGGGCCCGCTCCAGGAGAGTGGTAGGTTTTAGGCAAAGGGGCAAACAAAACAAAAGGCTGAAGTGTGAATCCACATGCCTCGGTGCCGTGGCTACCAGTTGCTTTGACTACCCAGACAGCCAAAGACCCGGGGCAAAGCCTCTAGCCCTTCCCAGGTCTAAACAAGAAACCAGCCCTGTAAGTTTGCACGCTCACAAGGTGAGTCCCAAAAGAAGTTACTTTGGTAGCTGTCACCAACTTGAGCCAGAGTACTGGATTCACATTGAAGCCTCCTGAACTCAAGAATGCACCAAAATATAATTAAAGTGTTTTATATAATAGGATGTGTAGAAATGTACAACAGAGAGCAAAGAACAGTGAAAATAAAATAATAAAGCTAGATAGCTAATCCTAAATACTTACAAACAATGGTTCTCTCATCCAGAGGGTACTTAACAAGGCAGAGTCCAAAATCAACAGGTGTCCAGCTGTCAAGGCCCACACCAGTCAAAATGTCCCAAGGCAAGTTGCATCCAACCAAAGGGCCATGCTAAACTAGAAGGAAGAATCTTTGCTTTATTCTTTGTTGCCTGTGCTGGCATGATTTAGGCTTGGCAATCAGATGTAGGCCCAGTGATGCAACCCAACTGGCCAATGATGTAACCAATCAGTATCTGATGTTCTGCAGTTACATCAGGACCAATTGACAAAATCCCATAAGTCCTTGCGCTAACAAGGTGGAATGTGTAGGCCCACTAAGGGCAGCCTCGAAACGTTTAGGACTAATGAAACACCTTGCACCTATGAACTACCTCCCATGCTCCATTATTTCTCCCTCTGAGTCACTGTCAGCTTGGCGCTCAGAAAACAGGAATTTTCCGTGTTCTGCAGGCCTCGTGCCTGAACTAAATTTTTGAGTTTGAACAAGAGACTGAAGTGGCCTACTCTCTTGATAGAGGGTGTGTCACATGACACAGGCAGC